TAACCGGAGTTATTTCCCTTCGCCAACGGGAGAAATGTTCGTAATTAAATTAACTCTTACCATCCTATTTAATTAAATAAGTAAATCCAGTCAACCAATCATGGTCCTGTTTACATTCGTTTTTGCCTTATTTGGTGCATAAAACTGAGGGTTATTCAGTTACAGCAAACCGAGAATCAACCTAACAAGTTAGATCCTTATAGGAGTGTTTGGATTAACCACAACGAGAGAAAACCAAAAACCAATTTTTCGGTTGACAACGTTTCGACTCTCTTGGAAGGCTTTTTTCTAGTCAATTAGCAAGCGAACATTAAACAAAAACGGTGAGAAAAACCGTATCAATTGGAAGTGCCTTTGATTGGTCTAAGGGGAGGAAAAATTGAGTTGATGTGTGTGTGTGTGTGGTAATCATTGAGAGCGTGGAAGTTGTAAATGAAGCAAGAGGTCAAAGAGCTATGGATGAAGTCATAAATGGGAGGTCTATGAGTAGTAGTCTATGAGCAGTTTTGTGGTGTGGCGAGATTTAATTTTGTANGGGGGGGGGGAGCGGTTGGTTGTGCAACTGGCATCCAGTCAGTGAACTGATAACTGGGTCCCGTCCGATCGATTGACGCAAAGCGGATCGCTGTTGATAAACAATGACTCAATAATTAATCGTTCTCTATATGACTTGAAACGGTGTTTCAAAATAATCGGTTTTTTGAAGTCTATAGAGTGTCCCTCATAAATGGAATGTAGAGTAATAGCTGAGTCCCTCTGAAGGCCCCTAAGCTCCGATGCATTTTTGGAGGGTGTTTGGATTTGCCTTCCGCGTCTTTAGTTGTTCACTTGTATGGTCAACGTACGTGGCTGTACACTGTTTACATATTATCTTGTAAATGAGATTCGATTGATCAGCTTTTGGTCGTCTGTCCTTAAGTCACATCAAGAGTGAATGAAAGGTGTTGGTTACCGGAAATACGACCTGTATATTGAAACGCTTCAATATTCTTTGGATGTCTTCTGACGTATTGCGGCGATAAGGTATGATACTAGTTGCGATCGAATCGGTCTTTTTGACTTCCGGTTCTGTAGACCTTTTAGGACTTTTTTGAATTTTTTTTTAGAAAACTTGCTGGATATCCGTTATCCGCCATCTCTCTTGTGACTGTTTGAACTTCTGTGCGTTTGTCATTTTTGTTTGAAACGAACTGGTTCGCACAATTTCTTCCAGGACATCCGTTCCAAGTTTGGATCTGATACCGTGAACTTGAGCAGTTCTTGAGTAGTATCTTTTAAGCTATTTCTAGGCAAGTACTTCGGTCATATCTCCTTGGATTTTCATTTTGGTATTGCGAGTAAAAAGATCGGGATAAAAAGCCCCAATCAGGCTTCCGGGAAGATACTTTTGCCAGTGTAAACTCCAGTGCATGATATTCTATTCGTAGTCTCACTTACCCTTACGAAAAGCGGCCGCTCTCCACCGCATGGTATAGTGGTGAAACGACGTTTGCATTCCTGAGAAAATTTCCGACCTGCATTGACTATGCTAAGCTAAATTTGTATACATATTTGTTAACAGTGTACTCAGAGAACCATCCCAGCGATTGGTTAACTGCAGTACTTGTATTTGTGTTGCCATGTCAAGTCCGCTTACCTTAGCGCTTTTAGTTTGTTTAAACATGACTAACTACTCGTAAGTAGTCAAACTCTCGTTATTTTATGATGGTACAAGCTATTGGTCGCCCAGGAAAGTGTCCACTGAACACGCCAACGGGCCCGATTCAGACTTGACGGGTCTCGATTAAAATCAGAAGCTCCGTCTCTATGATTTGCTTCTGAACAGTGTCTGCTAAGGTGTGACCATACCCACCAAGATGGTTTGGGGTTTTAAATATATATATATATATATATATATATATATATATATATATACATGCGGT